GAGAGAGAGAGAGAGAGAGAGAGAGAGAGAGAGAGAGAGCTCGCAACAAGATGTCCGTCGACTATTTATTTATAGAGCGAGCACACATCGGCACGCATGGTCACATGCTCGCGTGCACGGCACACCGATTCGCACACACTTGCGGAGATACGCGTGAAAACGCGCGGAGCGAGAGTACGCGTACTTGCCCGCGTTTCCCTTGGGAGTGGACGAAAAGTTCGTTTCGAGCGGCCGTTTATTTTGTACTCTGTTTATTTGTTAACGCGAACACCGCTTTCATTGTTTGCAGAAATAATACGATGAAAGTGGCGCGAGAGTGGTTAGGGGAAATAAATTTTGGAAAAGAACGATTTAACCCGTTGAAATTCGAATTTAAAAAGTTTCGAAAAGAGATTTACAGAGATCATATATCGCTCGAATCGATTCGTTGTAAAATTTAACGTTCTTACGACGAAGAAATTCTGACGAGATCGAATAAAAGTTAAAACATAACCTCAAAAGTTTCATACGGAATACTTGGAAGTTCTGAATATAAGTAAAAGAAAGATAAAAAAAATATATAATCTAATTTTTAATACGACTAAATGTAATTAAAACGTTATATTAAGAGATTAAAAACGAGGCGGAAGATATTTATTCCGGTTGGTGCTAGATTATCGAAGTCATACAGCGTGGATTTTCCTGCCGACTTTTCAATGCGGCCCGTCTAAAACGGACCTCGCCTCTGCCGCAGTGGCATCGCGAAAATGCGACGTGTCCGAGAACGACACGCGTCGAGGCACCTGTCCTCTCTCTAACACTTTCATAAGAGACGATGATACTTACGCAACCGACCGGCCGGGCGATATTTAGCTCTTAGGACGAATACGCAGTGTCTCGATTATATACGATTAACCTCTACTTTTCCTTCTTTAGCCTAAATTCGATTCTTTCCAAGGTTCTTTCTCGAAATAAATGAAAGTAACAATGATTGCATTCTAGTAATTCTTTTTTCGAGAACGAAATACGAGAAAGATTATTCGAAAGATAACTTTGTCTTAGGATTAAAATCGATCCGATTATTATCTCATCATTTTTGATATTTTAAAACCGATGAAGAGAGCAAGAACACAACCAAGTCATTATCACCATCCAATATCGATAGACCACCATAACCTCAAAAGTTACATACACCTAAACACTTTCCATCCACTCTTCTAATCATTTCTTTTCTCGATTGTTAACGAATACTTTATAATAAAAAATTCACAGGATAGAATTCAATTATTACGTATCCTTGATCGTATCTTTTCGTACGTTTACCCTTCTTCCCTCCTGTAATGTATCGTCTATTAGGTCAGTCGAAACGAACGGAGCAAGTGTCTACTTTTAGCATACGTCGACAAGGCGGATAATCCGAAAGGGTCCGAAGTAGCGAAGCCTTCGCTATCCACGCCACGCCTTGGCAGCCAGCAAGTTTATATTATTGTGGTATCGTGTATATTTACAGAGGGTTAGGAATTTTTATGATGTTGATCGTTCGTCGCCCGTGTACTGTTGATCGGCATTCTTCGATAGTTGTGCGCATGCGCGTTTCAAGCATGCTGATTCGACAATTAACTCTCATCCTACGAGCGATACGATTCTTCTTTATTCGATACGATCGATATAATCGATTGCATCGCTATCATTTTATTCTTCAGTCTCTAGTTATTTTTTCCCGATATATCTATATCGAATTAATACGTCGCTGATGTCATCAGATTTATATTTTAGAACATAGATCGAAATAGATTTCTTTTTTGAGAAAGAATAGCTCAAGAGTATAATAATAATAATAATAATACGAGATGTTTTTAAATAACGTTAAAACTCGGTGAAAATTTTTGGAATCGACATAAGGGATTTACGACAAACAAGGATATAAATTTTTCGGATTTAAATCGAGACCTTGAAGCTCGGAAAGTGGAACAACGGGAAGAATAAAAAAGCGGAATACGAAATCTTTTCGAGTGAATTCACGAAAGTTGGAAAACTTTGAAATATGGCTGATTCCAAACGAACGAATCTTCGCGTAAAATGTGCCGGCGATCTCGAGACTGTCTCGACCATATTAATTGGGTCGCGAAGTTCGCAAAGCATCTCGTGGTGCTCGCAGCCTAGATGAGAATAAATAAACGCCGATTAAACTGATTTTTTCCGAACGATTTTTCGGTTCACCAATTTCTCTCGAAATTTCCTGACTCGGTAAAGATTTATCTTCGAACGAGCTAATAAAAAAGAAAAAAAATAAAGAAAGAAAGAAGAGAAGAAAAATAAGATACTCTCTGAAAAGAGAGAGTCTCGAATGATACTTCATTTATTCCATTCCATTTATTCGAGCGTTACATTTACTATTCGCATCCATTGTACTTTTCATAAAATTCTGCAAAGACTTTTATGATAATCAATTTTGACATACGAATATACAATATTTATTATGATTCCATGGAAATTTATGAACGCAGAAGATAAATATAAATGAACGAATCGTAAATTTCTAAAATTATACATGAACGTATATAGATAGAAATAATAGATTAAACCTCTAGTTGCAAACATATCGCCGATCTCATTAATAGAACAAACGAATCCAGAATCGAGGATCGTGTACTTTTCAAGCAGTGATTAACCTTCGATAATAAACATTTTTCCAAATGGTAATTCATCAAACACGTTTTATTTCCAACAGCAAATAAACTATTGCACGTCTAACCTAACCTCCAAATTTTCCGTATATAAACCTCTAAATTCTCTATCCCTCCTATGAACAATATTCGCACACAGAAATCCAAAAATCGATATCCTCCCGAATATCTATATAAAATTTCAGAGATTTCCATCGAAATAGCTCGATCCTCTCTCCTTCGATCCTTTCCTTCCTCTCAATCTCGAACAATTCCAAAATTTTCACAACCTCTCCAATCGCTTCACCAACGCCACCTGCGGCCAACGCGACGAAACGCGACTCGTCCCGAAAACAAAGAAACCGAAGAAGAGAACGAACGACGAATCGCGTGCATACGTGCACGTGGCCCGTTGATCGACGTGTTTCGATCGATCAGCTGGCAGGAGGGCCGGGGCTGGCGCCCGTCCGCGGTTCTTCTTTCATTCGGTTTCATCGAACTCACTGACTCAGTCTGAAAATACGTAATTTCCGTACGTACGTACGTACGTACGCGCGCTGTCCTGGCAGAGGGGCCGCCGGTCTTCTCTCGCCCCGTGTGTGTGTCTCGCCACGCGCTCTCCCTCTCTCTCTCTCTCTCTCCTTCTTTCTCTCTATGCTTCTTTCTCGCAGGCTCTCGAACTCTTGTGTGGCTCAACAAACACACGGCTTGGCAGCCGGCTTTCTAATGTTTACACCCGTGGTTGACGCAAAAATTGGCCAGGCCTACCGCGCACCACCTACGAGAAAGAGAAAAAAACGCTTCGCTGCCAAGACATGGGGTAGGTTAGGCACTCTCCAGACCGTTCGTCGCCTACTTTGACCACCGCTACTCTTCGTTCACGCCGTTGGTGATCGTTTTTCTCACCAAGGATACTGGATTGATAGTAAAATTTGGAAATATTCATATATAATATAAAGATTTCATTGCGAAACGGATACACATTTTTAACGATAACGATAAATTTCTGCGAAACTTGTCGTTTCTTTAAAAATTGATTATTTGCGAAATACCTTTCTTTCCATACAATTTCT